TAACAACAGTAATTACAACAACAACATCCATATAAATACGGATATCAATGATGGATTTGATGCTGGTGATGGTACTAGTGATGGTGGCGAGTGAGTGACAAACATTGTAAATAGTAAAATCAAACTAATGAACACCAGCAATCAAGGGATAAGACAAACCTAGTAACACAACCAAATAAATATAATAAAACAAATGCCTTAGGATTCCCGACAACACAGCTAATACCAGTAACTATAGCGGAACATTAAGATTGCCTCCAAACATAAATCAATAACAAATGTGGGTACGATATCCTACTCCTACGCAAGGTAAAACAGCAACACAACTGCAACACCATTTATAAAAATGTGCAGAGCCTTTTATGATGGTGGTAATACACATGGATAAAATTAACATACTTATTACAATATCTATGCTTCAGCAATGGGTCTTTTTTTGGTTTGAAAAGAGGTAGTAGTAAGAAAACTTTGCACTACAACTCGTACCTAAGCAAAACCATCACCAAACGTCAACAATTAGCATTGATTTTTTTCTCTTTCTCCAAAGCTTCGTCGTTTGTTTATACGAATTTAAAGAAATAATTGCAAATAAATACATAATAAATGTATAAAGGGGGGAGGAGTCACAACATCACACTTCCAATGGCCATATAATAAATAAATCTTGTTAGCATATCCATTGGCCACACACACACTCGCTTATCGATTACCATGATTCCGTATGCAAATCATCCAAACTATTAATACGGGCACCAGGCACCTTACATAACTGGAACCAATCCTCTTAAAAACACGGTGTTTACAATCCACGTCGATTGGCAGGACGTTGCATTGGAGGCCCGTCACTCAAAGCACTGTACTGAAGTTACACTTATCCCGTTCGTAACTGCTTGCCACCACGTCACTCACTCACACTGCCATCACTGCAAGCGAATTCAAAACGGGCGCACAAGCATCCGAGCAATGCATCCGTCCCTACGCTGGCTGCATCGGCCCTCTCCCGCGTACTCTGGTCAACTCCCTCCCGAGGCAATTAACCAAGCAACGATCGGCAACGACGGCCCGTTACGCAGGCGAATGCTACTGCTAAAGAGTCGGAAGCCTTGTTATTTCGTCCCACTACGGCCGCGCGTTGCAGGAATTGAGCCTTGCAACACGGGGAGTAGCTCTATTGTTGCTAACCGTCAACTGCCAAGCGGAAACGTCAGGGGAGAGAGAGAGAGAGAGTGAGAGAGAGAGAAGCGGTCGAGACGTTTACATTCCCCCCCTGACGTTTGTTAGTCTTTGGGCTTGCTTACGCTCAGGTGCAACGGGAACGTGTCCTCCAGCTCAATGTGCAATCTCTTGGCCGTTATACAAACAACAATAAAAATCTAAACGATAAATAGATACATAAATAAATAAAAAAAAGGTTAAACAAAAAAAATCCAACTCGATTCATCAGCAACGGCCTTACTAAAACAACCCCCACATCGCAAACCAATCTGTCGAGGGGCTTAAAAAAGTGTGTGATCCCCACTGCATAATTAGCAAGTAAGAGAGGGGGGGGGAGAAAAAAAACACAACAGTAAATGCACCTAGAATAGCCGAGCAAGGTGGAGAGAGATTTGTCCCGGCATGATGAGAGCCGCGGTCTTGTATTACACAGTATACACACACACGCAGAGGCCCAGTATCTCCAAAGGGTTTTTGATCCACCAGACACCACAGTACTCGTCTGTTGCCGCCTCCTGAAGGACCTGTAATTATGACACTTGCTTGTTGTGGTCGTCCAGTGACACTATGACGCGGCTCCAATGTGACCCAAGCAGTTGACGTTGAGCGCAGAGGTGGCGAAGTTCGATGTATTTGGCAATTAAAATGCATCCATTACAAAAAATGGCAACTTTGCCGCCGCACCTCCTCGAGAGCATTGGCGGGATGGATATTTTCGCGACTGGCCTACAACAGGTGTCTGCACATTGGCCGGTGTCCTGTTTACCAACTAGAGTAAATAAAGTCATTCACAATAACACAGGCAATCCCATGGACGACAATGGGTACAAAACTAACCCTAAAAATGCTTCAATTGGGTTCAAGCCTGATTAAATATTTTCCATAAAGTTGGGTATGTCATAATTTACAAATATTGACAAGGATGAAGTTAATATAAATATTAAATTACAACTGTACATAAAGTATATATAAAGCAGTAACAATAATCACCAAATTCACGTTTCTCCAGTGATATGCGCACCAACCCCCTTTCGGCCCTCCATTTATCGGCGTTCTCTTCCTCCATTTCTCTCGCCTCCCTCCTCCGTCCCCTGATCTAGTTTCGATATTCTCCGTGTTACTCGCCTGTTCGCTGGCTTCTGTGCTTCATTCACTTACCTTCCGTTGCTTGGAGTCATTTTACACTGATTTCATCACCGTGCCATGTCGAACACAAACAAAATCACTTAATTTTCCGACTATGTCCCACTCACCTTCTTTCTTGTTCGCTTTCCTCGTCTTCCACAGAGACAGATAGACGAGAGAAAAGGTGGAGCACACGGCCTGTTTCTTCTCTTTTTCTACTTCCTTATTTCCCGAGGTTCCAATAACGCGCGGGGCTCGCTGTAGCGCCATTACAAATGCATATCATTTCTAGCTAGTACGTTTTATTTTATCTTTATATTAATAAACAAGTATTTCTATTCATTGTGAATTTTATTCGCACAAAATCATAAAGTAAAAGAGGGAATAACTCAAACGCACTTGTGTTTAAAAGTGGTTGTTGATCCTCCACAGAAAACGGGCGCCGTTTCGTTTTCGGCCGGGCTGTAGAGGTTCCTAAGTGCTAATAATTTTTATTTTTCTTCGCTTATTCCTACGTTCTATAAGTTTAGTAACGCATGAAAATGAACTCACTGTTTATAAAATACTTTACAGATTTATACTATCATACATCGGTGGGTAAATATATTGCATAAAATAGGAAATTCAGTAAGGCTTACGAATTATGGTGCCAGTATAGGCCGAGTAGCAAGGCCGCTAATATTTAGTATTTTAAATCTTTGGTATTCCAATGGAATGTTTTGTATATTTGGTCATCTCAATAAACAAAGGTATTCTTAGGTGTATTCTAAGCACAAGTAAACATAATAAGAGCCAAAAATAATATATTTCCATACACTTAGATAAGCCTGGCGAGTTTGTGGTGTAGGATAGGCCGGGTGGCAGAGGCGCTCAGGGTGCAGTAGTGAGAGTGTGCGCGTGAATCGCAAACGGGAGGGCTGGGAGGTGAATCCAGATCAAGATGACCACCGCAATATGAGGTAAGCTCTTGCAAGTCGCAATGCAATAATGTTCGTATCATTTTTATCTGTATAAGTGAGTTTTGTAAAAAATGATGTGTTTCGTTCATTCACTGTCTGTGATTGGAATTTGCTTTACATGCATAGGCCTAAATGTAGTGGTCACCTCAAGGTTTTGGGCAAAATGGCGGAAATGGGTCTATTAATATTGCAACTTCCGGAGTGAATATAGAGGTTATATACACTAGTCGTAGCCATTTTAATTTTAAAGATTACATGTAGTGCAACACACATAACGTTTAATCTGAGCGCCCGATCGTCGGACTTTGGAAAATCGGGGGGTAGCAATGTCATGAGCAGGGATCGTGACAAATATACCCCCGTCCCGCAATTTCCGTAAGTGCATGAAACGCATTGTTCAGTTTTTACATCATGACTGATAGTGCAAACCGCTTGAACTAATAAACTGTATATCACTTCAAAATCCAAGGGAAGACAGAAAAAAATAGTTGTGCGTAAAAGTGGAATTACGCATTTGTTATTGTGCGAGTGGTGACATCTGGCAACACGTGCATTGTGGGTGCGGGACAGTCGGGTCGGCCCGAGAGCTTCACTTACCATGTGGACAGCAACGAGTGAGGGTCACGGCAGCTCCTCGTAAACTCTGCCAATGTGATGGTGAAAAGTGACTAAATAGCTCCAGTGTGCTGACCTTAATGGTGCTGTGACTATGTGTTAAGGAAGACTGTGTGAAACTTCAATTAACGGTGAGAAACAAGATCACTTTGTCACATTGATTTAGGAAACAATCTTGAAAAGAATATATAACAAAATATTCTTGTGAATCGAAACCCTGAAATGCAACTCAGTGTTTTCACTTATTCTTATTTTTCGTTCTTGAGTAGTGAATATTGCTTTGTATTTCACGGTTTTGTTTTTCAACGGTGCTTGGTGAAACTGCGGTGATGATAAAATCGCATATCATCTAAATAAAAAAAATAGGAAACAACTGAGTTATCTCGTGTGATTTCTTGAAGCAAGAACTTCAGATACTAACCCATCTCGAAGTGTTAAATCTCGAATTCCTAATTTTCTTCACCGCAATCGGACATCTATAGTATTACGCCGCACGTACTTCGGCCATAATTTTATTTCGGTGCGCTTTCTGATAACGGATAGCGTACAAGAAGCCCCTGGGTGTATGCGAGTGCTGTATAGGCCTATCTCTTCAGTGGCTGATAAGCTGAGGTCGGGAACACTCGAGTCTGCAACCATTTGTACGAATCTGGAACAAGTAGTTTAACTGCATAGTTGGAAGCTGTGTGCATTGGTGGAAGTGCTACTTGATGTGTGAACGAGAGATGAAGCTCCCTCCCTTTTGGTATTAAGAACAGCACGCAATTGCCTGGTTGCCGCCTGCACCTCCAATCAGTTACTATTTGTGGTGAAGATTACATAAACATTTCGAAATCGTATGGGATTTGATATCAGCCGCGACGACCCTTATTGGCCAATGTGATAAATGACTTGTTAGTTTCAGTTTGCCGTGTAATTAGGTTGCATTTAGGTCGGATGACTCGATGGGACTGTTAGGTACGTCTTTCCAGATACACAACTATTGATTGTTTAGTGGATTTCTTTCTTGATTTCCGACAAGTAATGTTGTCTTGTCCATGATGTGATAGAGATGGCTTGTTCTTATCTCCTTATCTCTTGTGTTAAAATGATAACCTGAGGAATGGAATACTTTCCACCATCGTAAAGCACCGTTGCCCTTAGCTCAGGGAAAGACATGTAAGGAATTCATATACGGGCATACACTTGCAGTCAGGCATCTTATAATTATTTACATGTATAATCTCCAGTCAGATTTCAATGGCCGAGGCTCGGTAAACAAGCCAACAGGACGAGGCTGAACGTGCCACGCCTCCGAGATATCATCGCTGGTATATTTTCGTTTTCGATCGCAGTCGTTGTTCATCTACCCGTAAAAATCATTGGCGATTAATTGGAACGACTAGAAAGATATAACAAATACAACTGCTATAGATTTAGGCTTGGGAGAGGAAAGCAGCTTCGAGTGGGGAGGAAGGGATCTTCGGGGTTGCCTAAGGTTGGGAAAACCATTCATGAACGAGCATCGAATGTGTGTACGTATGTCGATATTTGTCTTACATGGCCGCACAAACTACGTAAAGAATACATATTTGCGAACAATCCCAAGCATTCGTCGTGATTTTTAATTCGCCCGGCGACACTCTTGTCATCTGTGGAATTATCCTTTCCCTTTACTTCCCTCTCCTCCCTCCTCTCTCCTCGCATATCCTCTTTCTTCCTCCAACCTGCATGGTCTCAGATCTGTTGACTGAGGCGCTCTCTTATACGTGGAAGAGAGAGAATCCCCAGCACGAACTCGCCCTCCTCTCTTTCATTCTTTCTTTGGTCTTCGCCTCTCCTCCCCTACTGCAGTGACGCGTGCCTCCTCCCGGCACCAATGGAGATGGGAGGGAGCACCAGCCACATGATCATGGGGGGTTCTTGTAGCACCTCTTCACCTTTAGTGATGCAAGAAACTCTGCTCTCTTAAAGTTCTCTCTCCGCCTCTTCTGGTTGCGTGTGCTTTAAAGCAGAGGCCACGCCGGGACTGCCTGCAGGCACGGCCGCTCTTTCTTCAGTGTTTGTTGAGGTGTTTTGGTTCGAGCGCGCGCGCGCGAGAGAGAGAGAGAGAGAGAGAGAGAGAGAGAGAGAGAGAGAGAGAGAGAGAGAGAGAGAGAGAGAGAGAGAGAGAGAGAGAGAGGCTCTTGCAAAGACCCCCTTCCCTAAGAATGAACCTGGCAACGGGAAAAGCTGGTGGATTAACACAGGCACACTGCTCAACATTTTGCTTCCCTTCCTCCCAAGTCTCAGCAGTATCCCTTCAATTTATGTAAAGTTTTCACTGAGTATCTTTTTTCTCCCAAGTTTTCACTGTTTTGCCCTTTCTCAAAATGTTTAGTGAATTAATTGCTTAATGATCTCCTTGGCAACTACTTCAGTTCAGAGAACGATTTGCTCTTAGCTTTTAGGATTAAACACTTGAGATTTTTGTTGCGAATGTCTGGCTTTTAAAAAAAAACAACTGATTATATGCTAATCATGCACACTACAAATATTCAGTCACGCTTGCAGTCCCTGTTTTTAAGGCGGAATTTTTGTTTTCTAGAGTCACCAGGCATTCCGGGTAGCTTTGATTATTTGTTGAATCATTTAACCCCTATCGAGATTAATCTTTTGACCTTTTTTTTTATATCTGTGAGAATGCAGTTGAGGTTCAGTCTGTTTCCCGATAGAGTGTTATTACCAGTTGACGAAATAGATGCACAACTTTCCTTCTCTTGAACATTTTGCTTTCAGAGGGTGTGTCATCTCGTGCAAACATCTTGTCCTCATCTTTTTCTTTCTTTCCTCCCGCCCACCGTTCTTCATTTTCGCCTTTCCTCCCTCCTTTAATTTTGATATTCTAGTATATATATCGTGTAATTTCAAAGAAAAAGAATCAACCGTTTGAAAATATTTAGCCGCAATATTTCGGTTGGCGGTGATTTTGCTGTGTTAATTGTTTATGCAATATGTATCGGACTCTTTCGTTATTGCAATTAGAGAACAGTTAAGCAGTTTACCGTAAAAATAAAAATACTAGAATAAAATGGAAGAAAAAAATAGAAAAGATGGATTGATTAGATAAAAAATAAGTCTTTGGGTAAACACCCCAGCATTCAGTACAGTCTGCCCAAATCACCACTTTGGGACTGGATGGGGTTGTTTGTGTATGTTGATGTCGTTCCCTGGTTATGGTTCGTTGTTGCTTTGTGTGTCGAGGCAAGGGGTTGTTTGAGGTGTAGGGGGGTGGGGGGTGGGGGTCGGAGTTATACTTAGTGATAAGGGTTGCACGCCGCTTGATAAGCCCCATAGATGTGGCAATGGATTTCGGATCTAGCGGCCCCCTTCCCTCTCACTCCCTTATCGCTCTATCGTCTCGACTCCTACCTCCCTTATCCTCTCTTTCCCTTCTCTTATCCTTGAACTTTCTTCCTTTCTTCGCTTTTGTCTATCCGTCTGTCAACCTCTTTTTGATATTACAGGTTTTCGTCGCGACAAATACCTTTCATAATAAGAGATCATTTAGTCTTTTTACTTCGTTAGGTTATGTTTTGTTTTGATTATCTGTTCCGTTTTCCCCCTCTTTCAATTCTCGTGTCCTCTTCCTCTCATCCATTCTTATCCTCCTCCGTTTGCCTGTGTGCGTCTTCTTGTTTCTGTCTCATATTAATTTCACTTTTTATTTATTACGCAAATATTCAGTGATTCCATGCTAGTAACCATTTATTTCTTTTAAATACCGGTACAAAAGGTTTACATTCTCTCCTTCCAATACACATGCGGGAATGCATTCTGAAAAGTAACCGGCAAAATTTATTATATTTATCAAAAATCATTCATTTTTGATTGGTTTATATTCCATACTTATATTTGGGTATCTTCCATCTCAGTCCGAAGTGCATACGTTGAGAACAATATAAAGTTCACATATGATAAACTATGATGTGGGTATTTTTTTAGCGTGGGTGATATAGTTATGCTTTTTATTGCTAGTGACAGTGACATGGTGACATAGACCTTGTTATTGATTCGAGTAAGCCACGTTATTAATAATAGAGTACGCAAGTCCAGCCGTTAAGAATTGTATTTACGTTCAGAGGAATGGGCGTTAGTAGCCTACCCCCCCCCTACCCTCTACCTTACTCCGCACGCCCGCCCGCCCACCCCCTGGCTCCACACCCACACCCCTTACCCCCTTCCCTGTAACCCTCCTGTTCCACCCCGGCCTCCTCCTTCCATAGACTTCCTTCACTTTCCCTATGATCCTACTGCCCTACCCCAACCCAGACCTCACTACCAAATCCCCCCCCCCTCCTTACAGACACACCCTAACCTCACCCCCCCTCACCCCCCCTCAGCCTTCCCCATCCCCAATAACCCCTTGATCGCACTTCCCTCGCTGTATCTTCTCCTCCTCACATAGGAAATGCCGACCATACCTGGTAGAGGTCTCAGTGTATGTAAACAGTCCGACGGAAGTGTGTGAGGTAATGGCGATTAAGCACAATATGTTTTTTTTTATTGTTCTTTCTCTCTCTGTCTATCAATCTATCTGTCTAAAACTCTCTATCTCTATCTATGCAACTTTATTATTATTTATTGTCATTGTCTTTCTTTCTGTTTAACTTTATATCTGGAAACAACCAGTTAGTCTCCCTCTCCTCTCATCTCCTCGATTTCGTTTATGTGTAATAGGGATGAAAGAAATGGGTTCTATATTTTATTCATTTATTCCTTCATTTATTTTGTTCAAAGGGCTGGTGATTGAATCGTATCGATTGTTTATATTTCCCAACATTCATGATTTTTATGATGGCACTCTAATGAAAACAAAGATAAAATGTTGAGAACGGAACTATGACGACACATTGTTTATGTGTATAATTGAATCGAAAGATAGGTTGATAGATGCCCATGTAGATATATAGATATATTTAATGTTAATGCATGAATACTTTAATGCCTACAGATATTGTGTACCACACGCACATGTAAACAAGTCACTTTTTGGTTGTGGTCACACACTTACATACACATACACATGAATGTATATATATATATATATATATATATAATATATTTACATATATATATATATATATATATATACATATATATACATATATAT